TTGGCCATTTGTTTGAGAATGGTAAGCCGTACTGAAATGCAACTCAGTTCCCATGGCTTTTTGCAAACTCTACCAAAATTGAGCCACAAAGCGAGTATCTCGGTCTGACACGATTGATAATGGTACCCCATGTAATCTCACAATCTCCCGTATATAAAGTTGAGTCAACGTAGGTAGAGTGTCAGTATTCTTCATGGCTAAGAAATGGGCCGATTTGGTGAATCGATCAACTATAACTTATACTGCATTGTATCCATTTGTAGTTTTAGGCAAGCCAATCACCAAATCCATAGTGATATGATCCCACTTCCATTCTGGAATAGGTAAAGATTGTAATAACCCACTAGGTTTTTGATGCTCTACTTTTACTTGTTGGCATATGGCACATCGAGCTGCAAATTTAGTCACGTCATTCTTCATTCATTTCCACCAATATTGGCGTTTCATATCTTAATACATTTTCGTGTTGCCAGGATGTATGAAAAACTTAGAGCAATGTCATTCCCTAAATATTTCTTCCTTCAACTGAGCATTATCGGGTACACACAGCCTTCCTTGATATAGTAATTTCTCCTTGTTGTAACTGCCAGTTTTCAAGAGCGTTCCCATCTTCTAGTGGGGTGCAGATGGATTCTAGGTAGGGATTTGAACGTTGTAATGCAACAACTTTTTGTCGGAGGACAAGTTGACCAACGAGATTAAAAAAACGTGGTTGACCTTCTTCTACACTTATCCAGATGTTAAAGTCCTCTAGTGTTTTCCTCAATCGTCATTTGTCCTTCATCACATTGATTATTGCACTTCAGGATTTTCTACTCAATGCATTAGCTACCACGTTAGCTTTTTTCGGATGGTATTGAAGTGTGAAGTCGTAATCCTCTAGATACTATATCCAGCGTCATTGTCGGAGATTCAAGTCTTTTTGAGTGAATATATACTTGAAACTTTTGTAATCTGAGTAAATCTAAAAATTTTCCCCATATAGATAACAACGTTATAGCTTCAACGCAAAGACAACAGCTGCCAACTCAAAATCGTGAGTGGAATAATTTCGTTCATGAGTTTTCAATTGTTTTGATCCATAAGCAACCACCTTGTTATTTTTCATCAATACACATCCAAGTCCCTGTAATGATGCATCCTTGTTCATGTTCTTTAATCTTTATATAATATATATATATATATCTATTCATTCATTATTTATATATAGACATATTTATTCGTTACAAAACTTGACCTAATTTATAGTCATTTGACTCGTTTTCACGTGAAGAGTCTATATTTGTGGTCCATTTTTTCATAAACAAATATTATTATTTATTTATATTTATATATATTTTTTAAAAAAATAAATTTCAATTATATAAAAATCAAAATTGATGACTTAATTAATATGTTAATGATTTATGTATATATGGGTCATCACAGGAAGAGACTTGATCACGTGTCCGGACACAAAGGCCAACCGTTTCAAATTCATGAGACGCGTCCGGACGTGAGTTGATCACGCGTTAGGATGCATGCTATTCAATGTCAATTAATGGGTTAGTTGAGGCACGTCCGTACGGCTGCATCCCACGCGTCCGGACACATGTGGAAAAATTATAAATGACCATGGCCTAATCGAATATTTTATCTTACTCTTCTTAACTGAAATACAAACTTCTCTCGCCTATTCTCTTTATTGAGACCACACCATGGCACCACCACGAACTTCCACATCAAAGAGACCCCAAACGAGAACCTAGGAGCCTCAGGAGGAGGACACCACGTTCGACCGCATTCGGTTTCAGACTTTAGAGGCTCGAGTAAGGTTTTTCAAAAGCTACACCACTAAGCCCATTGTATGTGAGAGAAAGATAGAATTTGAGGACTTTGCTCGGTTGGGAGTCCAAGATATAATCACTTCGAGGTGATGGGCAGGCTTTATGGGCAAAGAGTGGCTTTGCATTCCCATCGTAGCGAGGGAATTCTATAGTAATGCCGATGATCTTGGGAACAGTCTGATTTGTACCTACGTTCGGGGGCAAAAACATTAGGGTGGATGTCATGGCCATTGCCAGACTAATTGGAGTGACCTAGGCTCGAGTGGCCAATCCCAATTATCCACAAAAATTATGCTGGTGATGAAGTGGGGAGAGAGTTACTTGGGGACAAGGACTTGCATGGACCCAAAATTTGAGATTTCTTCTGCAGGGGGATTTGACCAACAAATATAAAATACTTAATTTAATTTCAGTATCTAACATCTTTCCTCTGTTGAGAAATACTGACATATATCTAGACCGAGTCAGACTCTTGTATGCCATGGGGACTGGACAATCCACATACCTCCCTTCACTTATTTTCGCTGAGATGCGATGAGCTGTTGTAGACCCAAAAAAGCCATCTCTCCCTTTTGCTGGCTTGGCCGCAACATTTTGTGAACAGGCTGGGGTGGTGATTGATGCCACCATGGAGAGGGCCAAGAAAGTTGTTGTGCTCAACTCTGGCTTTATTCTAAAGAGTTAAAGTGTGACTAGGCCGGTAGGGGAGAAATGACAGGCAGCTCAGGAGCAGGGGGAGGTTGCACTCGAGGGCATTGTACCAAGGGAGGAGCAGTGGGATCAGTTCCTCAATTTCGACGAGAATTTTGATTTGCCAATGGATGAGGACATTGATTCTAGGACTGGCAGGCAGACACTTTTTGAGTTACTGAGAGGTCAGAGGTAGATGAGGAAGGAGATGAGAGAGTTGAGGGCTCAGATGAGGGGATTAGGGCAGAGTCATGCATCCATCAATACATTCTTGAGATTAGATAAGTCTTTATTTAAGGTTGTAATGGGCATTGAGATTAGGGTTTTGAAACGAAGGATATTCAAGAATTCAAAAAATTATCCCAAAAGAACATATACATTACACAACCAAACTTCTTTCTATAGCCTTTTACTCTCCACCCTTTAGAAGCACAATTTACATCACTTGCTCATATTTTTTCAAAAACATGTTTGTTGTTTTTCTCTTCTTTTTTTTTTTCAATATGCTAGGCATATAGTCTCTTTTTATTTTTTACCAAGACAATTGAATGTATATACTCTTTTTTTTTCAGCAAGACATCTAATGCAATTATTCACAAGTATGCAAAACTCCTTTTTTTTTTATCATCTTTTCTTACTCAACATTTCTCAAATTTCATAACCAATAAAAAATTCAATCTCAGGATAACCAAGAGTAAAGGATATTAATTTTTTTCATTGGCTTGGTTATTATATGTTTGGTTTAAAAAATAAAATTTTACTTTAAAGGCTCAAGTAATATCAAAGATGACCTAAAATCATATCTCAAGAGCTTTTGATAACACACTTTCCATGCAAATAATTTAAAGTCAAGTAATCATTCATAATATTGGTGTTGACCAAAATAAATGTAATGAAACTATTGAAGGAGATTAGCTGAATAAAAATATTATTTATTGAGTAAATATAAATAACCCTCCAAGGAAGATTGGATCAACACTCACTAAAGTTTTAAGCATCCCCACTATATGTTTCAAGTTCTCAAGGTAAAATACTTAATAAATTTTCAACTTGGTAAAGTCTAAAGTGAATAAATTGTGAGTTTTTATAAGAACTGATATGAGATACAAAAATATAGAATAAAGTTCTATGTGATATTTAAATAACTGCACATTTAAAACTATGCAAACTATTTCTACATTGTGATGTCAAATTATACATAAAAATGTTATTTAGATATTTGATAGCACAACTGAACAAAATATGCATTTCATATAATATTTGGAATTTTCGTACAATGCATATTTCAACAGATAACAGAAATCAAGCCTCGCATATACTTCCCCCGTTTGGACGCGTATTCCAGTACGCTTCCTCCTCGACTATGCTTCGTCTTTCCTTAATTCTTTCCAATTTTATATTATTCTCTTGCAAAATAAACACAACTCATCTTTTATTAGCGTAGCACCAGTTCTTAAATAATCTACCATATTTATCACACTTTCATAGCTAAATAATTAATCTTTCCCAGTAATAAATGTAAATATTGGACCTTAATTAGGACCCACCTAGAGGAAACCTAATGGGACCAGTTCAAAAGAGATCCACGCCTAGTTCGGCTCATCATGGCTGCAAGAGCCACATCATCAAGGAGTAGGCAGTGTTATCCCAAGAGTCTCATCCACACCATCTTGGAGTAAGGAGTAAAGAAGTTAACCACGCCATCTTAATACCTGATTTTGAGGAGATCCTTGCAACAGTAGCATCCGTTGCGAAGATGACATCACCTCCACTAAATTATCCTTTTAGTTACTGATAAACTGTCTTAATCTATTAGGAGGCGACTATAAAATATAAGTTCCACCTATACATGAGGGGCAGGTATCACATCTGACATCACTCTCATATCTCTCACATCTTGTACCTCACCTAAGCGCTCATTGCTGCCACCCGAGTTCTCACCCGATCTCTTTACATTCCTACAACAATAAAATAACCAGACTATCCTAACCCTTCACAGTAGAATATGTTATATTGATCAAACCACTTAAATTGTATATTGCTTGTGTTGAGTTTTCTTTTTATTTTATTATCTGCATCAATTACTTAACATATGATATATAAAACCAAATTGTGCATCATCAAAATCCATACAAAGAATGAACTCATTTCCCAAATACCAAAAAGCAATGTCAAAGTGGATTCTCTGGCTGCTGATTAATTGAAAAGCCTTATTAAATAATCAGTTACTCTAAAAACTTAAATTTTTATTAAGAGTGTAACTCAAATACATATATTTCAACACGTCATCTTAGGTATAGACTAAATTTTAGGTTTACCACATAAAAAAATATTTTAATCACCAAGATAAGTGACGACAACATTTAAATACAAGAACTTCTATTTTGATACCTTATTAAATAACTATTTGCTCAAAAAATTTAAATAGTTAAAAAAAGTATAACTTAAATTTACATACTTCAACAACTTTAGACATGTAAAATAATAACACTACCCAATAACCCTTATAATTTATCAGTCCCCACATATGTAAAATATCATCATGAATGCTTCATAGTGAGAAAGGATCAAGGTTGAAATAGCCTATTTCCACATTTGCATTTCCATGAAAGGAGATAATAGCTGTCATGTTCACCATTTGATGCCTTCAAACCTTTCTTCTGATGAGGTGGAATGACTAGAGTAGCCACGCAAGGCCTACAAGTCGAGCACTTGTTCACACATCCAGGGGGCCTTGAACCTATCAATTTCTGTCTTTCCTCCAAAGTCTCACTGTCATAGCTTGAAAACTCCACTCCAACTGCCACACCACACACACACACACACAAGATTAGAAGGTCCATTTTTTTTGGGGGGGGATATAAAAATGGTAAATTACACTTCATCCCTTTAAACTATTACTTTTATTTTATTTTGTACCCTCAATTATAAAATTTCTCACATTACACCTTAAAATATCAATTTTATTTCATATCACTCTAATAGATAATAGTAAACTTGAAAATCTCTCAAAACAGGGGAGGGAAATCCAAAGAGCTTTCTACCAAGTGTCTAATATCACTTTATTTTATCTTTTTTGCTACCAAATGGTTGATGTGAAGAAAAAGAATGTAGGTTAGAATAAAAAAATTTAGGGCTTAAAAAGGATAATGTCATGGATGTCTATTTTTTTTTTTTGACTTACACATGTGTAATAGACAGTTACTTATTGGCAATAAAGACAACTTTAATACACACTTACTGTCAAAAAATTAACAGTCGCTATTTGTTGGAGTGATGAGACAAAATTGATATTTTAGGATGCAATGTGAGAAATTTTATAGTTGAGGGTACAAAACAAAACAAAAGTAATAGTTCATAGAGGAAAACATAATTTTCCCAAATAAAGACTTGCTAGTTATACGTGGAAATTGGAAAGGGCATATTATTGTGGCTCTAATTACAGATAGAAACATTTACAATAAGGGAGAGTCACAAAAAGCACTAGAAAGTGCCTTGGAAAGTGAGACATATATATCAGCATTTTCCTTTTGTTTCACTTATTCTTGGACTAGTAGTCCTAAACCTGTTCTAGTTTTAAACCATCTGCAAATGCAGCAACAAGTTGAAGCCAAAGGAAGTTATAAACTGAGTAATTCTTTCCAGCAGGGTAAATAGGAATAGTGATCATCAAATCATAACCAAGACAAGCTGAACAAAAAAAAACAAAAAGCAGCTTAGCCCAAAATTCCAATCACTACTAAGTCTAAAGATGGTTAAATATATCTATACATATATCTTTATTCCGTACATAGGGATTGTTTTTATAATCCGACCCTTATTAACATCTGCTGTGCCTATACAATTAAGACTGAAAAAGAGTTAATGGCTTTTCTTACCAGTCTGGGAAAGTAGATATAACTGTGACAAGATGATTCCTACAGTCAATGCAACTTTCAGCCAATTTGGGTAGTTAGATGAAGAAGCCATCAGCCAAGAAAGTTCTCTCTCTTCTGCTGCTTGTTGAATGAGTGGTAAGTAGTGAGGATTGAGAAAGCCAGTTAGTAATGGAGGGAATGAGGCCTATGAGAGAAGGATTATATCGGATGTCTGGAAAATGGAGGAGAGTTGATTGGAGGGTGGGGACAAGCGGACAAAGCCGATGCTGCTTGCCAGTACAAGTGACAGCTTTGCTGGTTGATATTAAATGGTCTGAAATTTAATGCATCTATTCTCTGTTGACCAAGAAGATTAACTGTCAAACTTTACAAATTTTGTGAATTGCGATATATTAAGTTTATTTTAAATAAGAAAATTATAGTTTTTGAAGTAATTTTCTTAATTTTATGGTTCAAATTACAATTTTTGGAGTTATTTGCGATTGATCCTAAAATTCTTTAGGATCGACTTTAAATAACTCAAAAAAATTATAAATGACCTCCAAAATTTGTAAAAAAAAAAAAACTTCTAAAATTTATAAATTATGATATGATCCCAAAAACAAATTAAAAAAGTTTGATGTCCTAAACTTCTCTCTCAAAGATTTTACAAGGGAAAAAGTTTATATTTAGATTTACAAGGAACTAAGTTTATATAGTAGCGTTTAACGTATTTTTAGATTGCAGGTGTGCCAAAGTTTAAGTGGACTTAAAATTTAAACACGTACGACTTTACCTACTTGAATCGGCTTGGGGTTTGAAAATCATGACTATTCAGATAATGATAGTGAGACATAAGGTTACCTCTAGATTTTTTTTCTATTCCTCAGAACTTCATGAACTTTAAATAATTTCACTAGACAGAGACGTCTGAATACTACTATAAAGTAAATAGCGAGAATGCAAAGTAACAAGTAAATTAAATTTGAATTTAGAAGACAAATCAAATACTAGATTCAACATTAATTGAAAGCAATAAAAGATCACCAAAGTGATGTATTACAGGAAAAATAAAGATTGCTCAGAAGCAGGAAATAGGTAAAAAGATAGGCTGACTTTGTGAATTTTTTTTTTTTTTGATTGACAGTTGGATCTCTTCTCAGTGACCTAGACTTTGTTATTTATAGAGATGACTCTCAATCGCTGATCCATCTTTTTGACCATGGTTGATGATCATGACCTTGTCTCTTGAGATAAGTGAATGTGTATTTAACCGTTTCCAACTGGTGGCTTATGATGTCACATCTCCTCGTTTCTCAAGATTCCAAGAGCCTTATTCCTCTAACCGTTGTATAATTTGTGGACTCTCACAGTCTCTCTTATGACCATCTAATTCCTAGACTCATTAATTTTTAATTTCCATGGCGTTACTGTCACCACAGGTACTCCTAGCAAGCCAAGTGATTCTCTCGTGTCTTGCTCTACCACCACACAAGGTTAGTCTGTTAAAAAGTCAATCAGTACTTAGCCTTTTACTGCGCGCTGTGACAAGTAATGGAGTAAAAATTTCATCCAGGCCAAAAGTCATTTACCGATTCGGCCTCTCATAATTGGTCTCATTATCATGTACTTAATTAAATTAGTTTACGCAACCACATACACCACAATTGAATCATATAGGCTCTCAACTTTTGTGATGCAAAGTACAACACTAAACAAAGTTTCTCAATCGGCTTATAACTTTGCTCAGCTGGAATCAATATTCTACTTAAATAATAAACAACTTCCTCTTTGCCTGTATTATTATTTTGAGTCAGCAAACACCCAAGAGATTCGTGTGCAACTGATAAGTACAATAATAATAGCCTACCCTTAATGGTGGCATAAGAATTAGAGGGTTCGCGAAATATTCCTTGATCTGACGGAAGGCTTCTTAATGCTTAGCTTCCCATCTAAAATCCTCTGCACCTTTCTGTTTTAAGAGCAACGAGAATGCTTGCACTTTTTCTGAACAATTGGCGATGAATCGTCGAAGAAGATTGACTTAACCAATCAAGCGCTAAAGCCCCTTCTTGGTCTTTGGAGACGCAACCTCTATGATGACCTTTGTTTTATTATTGTCTACTTCAATCCCCTTTTTTGTACCCAGAATCCAAGGAAGTTTCCCGTTGTGATCCCATAGGTCCAGTTCAAAAGGTTCATCTTTTGTTGGTGAACACGTATCCTTTCGAATACTAATTTCAATTCGCTAAGATGTTTTTCCATGTCTTGTGTCTTGACTATGATGTTATCAATGTACACCTTTATGATCTTTCTAATCATGTCATGGAAAATGGTGTTCATGGCTCGCTGATATGTGACTCATGCATTCTTCAGTCCAAATGACATTACTCTCCATTCAAACGTCCCAATCGACTTAGGACATCGAAAGACAGTTTTGTGTCAATCCTCTTCCGCAATGAAGATCTAATGGTAGTCTGCGTTATCGTCCATAAATGACATGATTGCATTCATGGCGGCCGCATCTACAAGTTGGTCTGCCAATGGCATGACATACTCATCTTTAGGAGCTGCTATGTTGAGGTCGCAATAGTTGCAACAAACTCTAATCTTGCCGATCCTCTTCTTGACTGGCACGATGTTGGATATCTATTCTGCATACTGGACCACTTGGACAGGAGGTGCTTGATCTCTTCCTTTACTAGCAAAGCTACTTCTTAAGACATCAACCTCGGGGCCTGCTTAATCAACCTATGTCTTTCCCTTATCGTCATTATGTTTTTCCAATGCTGGGTATAGCCCTGACATTTTCTCAAAACTGCAGGCAAAACAGTCACGATATTCTCTTAGCAGTTGTATAAGACATGCTTGGAAATTCGGCTCTAGCAGCTTGCTGACAAAGGTTGGTCGATGCTCCATCGGCTCACTAAGGTTGACTTCAAGCAAAGGGTCTTGAACCTCCGCCAAGTTGTCAAGCTTAGCAGGGGCTATGTCAATTTCATCTAGTTTGATGAACTCTCGTGAGTTGATATGCTTGGATTCATCCTCATCATATTCCACCAAGTTAATGGTGTTTTGTTGACTACTAGTCGCATGTAGTACAACGACCCTTTTTTTGCCAGGAAAATTCTTATCATGGCAACGCAGGCCCTTATGGCCTACCTCATTTGCATACTATTGTCGAGCTTCATCATCAATTGAGATTTTAGGTTCGTTTACACCATTCGGCCTTTGCACATTATTGCGCTGAAGAACCTACTCCTCCATTTGATGAATCTCATTGGACCTTAAGTCGGTTTGAAACACGACTTCTCTCAACTTTTTTTATTTGTCTTAGCCTTAAAGTTTTATCAACCCTATTTCTTCTTTATAGAGTCAAGCATCGGTCATGTGAACATCTGCCACAAACAACATTTGGTCTACTTCTACTACTTCAAAATCTTCTAGACTCCATAGCACCAGCTACTGATGGAAAGTTGATGGAATGCACTCACTCAAATGGATCCATTGCCGACCCAATAGAATGTTGTAGGACACTATCGTGTCAACCACAAAAAACGGCGTAATGTTGGTCTTCTTACGGACAGCTAACTCTACTGTCTTGTTGCCTCCTCCTATGAACCCACTCACAGTTAAATTGGTGTAGATTAGATCCTCTTCTTTTCTCCCAAGCTTCTTCATAGTCGCTATGGGAAAAATGTTCACAGTTGTTCCATTATCCACCAAGACTTTGTTGAAAGGTTTTCCTTTTAGGTGTGCTCGGATATAAAACAACTTCAATTATTGTGTTATGGGCCGTGAAGTTCTACTAAATGGCCAACCTTTAAGGTTGTTAGTAGACGATGCTTTATCTGCCCTTTGTTCCTTGCTCAAGATTCCCTCTAGAGAGTGTTCTTCCTCGTCCTTAAACATTTTTTCGTTGTCCAAGAATGCTGGCCTTGATGCCCCTGTGTCTTCGACATCTCCTTCCAGGGCTTCGGCTTGAGGTCCTTGACTCTTGAATGACGTTGGCAACAATCCATGAGCATTGATGGACACTACTGGCCCTAGAGTGCCAAATTGGATGGAGTCACCTCCGTCACTATCGTCTTCATCAGTGGGGTCTGTAGCATCCTCCTTTTTTCTCCCTTGCAAGTTTCTGGAGTAATTCTAAGTGTGATCCTCATTTGTTCTACCACCTTTTTCACCATTTGCTCGTCGAAACTTTTCTTGAGTACAGGCTTAGGCTTACCATCTTCTTCTCTTTTTCCTCAATCGTGGCCTTCTTCGAGGCCACTAGACGCTATGGAGGCAAGGATACACCAAATTGGGATCTAATCTCTCCAATTTTGGGCTCTTGGCACTTGGGCCTTTCGGGTCTCTTGAGCCTAAAGTTTCTCTTCTTCTTTCCACCTGTGCAAGTCTGCTTATATATGTCACTTCCTGCGCTTTTGTGATCTTGACAGCGGCTAGGGCTAATTGTATTATAGGAATTTTGGTTGTTGGCTACGTATCAATAGACCTTTAAAGGATCATTTGATTGCACAATCCTTGGGCAATCCTGATAATCTTCAGCCCAAATAGGTCAATTAGGCGCTAAACTTGTGACATACTCTTCATACTTTGGTCCTGGCCGACCCTTTGAATGCTCTGATATGTCTTTACCATGCTCTTTATAGCTCAACCCAATAAACTTTCCTCGCTGACCCTCTTCACCCCGCTTAGGCATCGATCACTCACTTAGTTGTTCCCATTGGATTTTCTTGTAGTACCATTTCTTTTGTGGTCTCTTGGACGATTTAACTTGCTCGTCTTTGATAACTTCATACTCTAGAATGATCCCTTAAAATGCTTTGCACATGAGACACAAACCATTTTTGACCATGTTAAGCTGCTCCTAGAGTCCCGACAATATATGAGACTCACCCCCAGAATCCTCCTATGATGATTCATCCAAGGGCGCACCATCTTTCTTCCCCCTTGACTTTTCGTCATCCATTGACCTATTCTCAAGTCAACTTTCTTCCTAGGAGTTTTTGATTGTCCTACTTCTAACATATTAATGGCGTATGTCTTTTGAAAAGGGTCCTTCTCAACCCCAATCTCAAGCTTTCTCTTGTCTCTGAAGATCAATTGGCCCTTAGTCAAATTTTCCTGAGTAGCGTTCTTGAATACCACACAGTTCCTCTTAGAATGACTCCACAAATTGTGTCATTTATATTGTGCCCTGTTCTTCAGTTCTGC